GAGAGAGAGTCGTTGGGAAAGTCATGACGCATTTTTGCATTGAAAAACATAGAAAAATACGTCCTGACTTTCCCGACAACCCAATATATATATGTATTTGCCCTGCAGCAGCTGTTTGCTCAATCTGGTAAATATGCATTTTCGTATGGGTAATTTTGAAAATGTGCTTTATGTACTTAATGGATCATATCAGCTTTGCTCAGTTCTTTGAGAACTGCTAGCTTCTGATTTAAAAAGAGAGCAGTCTTTTTTCTTTCTTTTTTTTTTTTTTTTAAGGTGTCTGCAGTGCTTATGCTGCTCATGGGGATTTTCAGGTTGGGGATCATTGATCCAGCTGACTGAAACCAGCTTCAGACACTCCATGCTTATAAATTGCATGAAAATTCTTGGCAAATAATTTTGGCTTCAAGAGATTACTGAGCATGTATTCCAACTGAGATTTTAACATGGCTCTTCACTTATGGCCTTGCCTTTCCTCTTTGAAATAAACCACTGTATTTTTGGCCTAACTATAGACATCTATGTAAAGTTATTTTCTTAAATAGCTGCTTAATTAATGAGACAAGAGGGAACTACTTAAGAGTATTTTTGACCTTATTTAACCTTGTTTTGAAAATCACTAAGAGTAATAAATAGGTTTCTGTTTGCGAGAGACTTAAAATACAAATTGTTTCTTAGAACATATTCTATTTTAATTGGATCACCCTAATTTTTATGGGTTATAGAGAAAAATTTGACTCTACAGTAATTTTGCATGCTTTTATTTTTAAAGTGAATTAGAACAGTCAGATCAAAACAATGTATTTTTTTTCATGCCTGTGACAAGTTTGGCATGGTGTGAAAATTTTCAATTCATATTACCACTGATCTTAGCCATTCTGTGTTTTACTACTATTTATGTAAAATAAACTCTTAAGTTTTGTCACTTAAGTTTGAAGTGAGCTCATCTGCCTTTTTCAGAATACTGATAGAGATCACTCGATGACAGTAACCTGTTTTACAGATTGCTAGCTTTGTGCATTGGGATCTCATATATGAGTTTATAGCTTTGGATCAATTTCGTTGCCATGGTAACTTTTTAAACAAAAAGAGGTGGTGACTTTTTATCTAGTAATGAGGCATTAATAGGAAAACGTGTTAATTCCATGTGTCAGGTTTAAGATTCTGCTCTCAGTCTGCCTTATGCCTTATCCCTCATGGCAGCATTTCTCGCGCTTCCGATAAGAGTGCAGAGCAGTGTTTAGGCAAAGGCATGTCAGTGGTCATCCTTGGCAGACCTCATATTCCTTTCCTGCCTTCTCTAACAGTTATATCTGGGTGTATTTACAGTTCATCTTTTTCCTGAATGGAACTTGGCAGTGAGAAATGAAAAAATAGAGAGTCTTTTTTTCTGGAAAGCTTTTTTATATACAAGTTAATAGCTGCTTTATGTCTCAGTAAGAGAGTTTATGGTAATAATGATTCTATTGATTATGAAAAGTATATATAAAGCTTTTCTTTATGTAAAAAGAACAAAGTTGCACAGAGTCCTTACCATCTGAGCATCTGTCATTTACTTCAGTTTTGTCTGGTTTTACCAACATGAATGCCAGACATCAGTCCTTGGTGGGTGCACAGAACACAGCCGTGAATAAATTTCTCTAAGCTCAAAAGCTCAAAAGATAGTAATGTGGACAGTGCAGATCATCTGACTCCCAAGTAATGGAACGAACAGGGAATGTAAATTGGCAATGTTATGTGAAAGAATGGAGATGTTGTCGTTTCTTTACAGAGGAGCCATGAGAATTGACTGCCGCTGAAGGTAACTCATAAGGTTGCAAGACGCTGGTGGAACGAAGGAGTACAGAGGGTTTGGCATGGACGGAGATGGGGGAGTTGGTGTTTCTTTTTGAGAATGTAGCCTAGGGGAGGATGAGATGTGGTGTGGGACCAGGCCGTTACTGAATGTGGCAAATTTTTTTGTCACGTGTTTTTTTGTCATGTGCGCTTTAAGAAAGTGGAAGTCATTAGTTAGGAAGTGACCTATTAATTTCAAAGCTCGTGAATAGTAGCTAGGTATCACAATGTTATGTATGAGATATAGAAAATGCTGCTTTCTGTATAGGAGGTGATAGGAGGAAGAGGGCAGTTAGACTGTGATGTGTGTTCAGGTTGAGTGCGATGAGTAAATAATTGATATCTAGAGGTTTGAAATATTGGCAGTTGGGTACAGTAGGGATTGGAACTCAGAACTTAAAAACCTTTGGTTGTCCCAAAATTGTGCAAGTTGGAGCTGCAGTTTTTATTTCAGAATGGATTTCTCCTGTTTTTCTCGAACACCAGATGAGGGGTAGGAAGAGAGATATCTACCACAGTGGGAGGAGTTCTCCTATTTATTTCTTAAGGCGATTAGCATGTTAAATGGTTGGTGTCTGAATGTTGAACAGAGTTATTTAGCCCCCTGAACTCGGGAACAAGATAGAAATCTTAGGCAACAGTCAAGATACAGAGATGGAATCTCTGTTGTTGAGTTTACATCTGAGTAGAGCAATCAGCTGGGGATTCTGGATGCCTAAATGACTTTCAGATCACTTCTTTTTGTGGAATGACTTTGGGCTACAAATATCCTGATGTCTTTCAGAAAGTTTCTTGGAAGGAAGTGCCCTGAGTGAACGAGGGCTTTCTTCATCATCTGCCTCTAAGTGGGTCTGCTAGTGCTTATGATGGGACTGAACTGTCTGCTGGATGGATGGCTCCAGATCTCTGCTCCCTCGTGTTTTCTTGGCTCTTAATGTGTGTGAAATGAGGCAGTAGAGGAATCTGCCTGTGTTCTCAAGCACCTGTTATTCTAAGACATATTCATTAGGATGGGTCACAAAGAAAGATAAAACAAATGATGTTTTAAATGTGGGCATTATGGTCACTAGAAAATTTGATTGACTGTAGGTGCGTTTACTTCTCAGTAAATAATACATGACTTTCCTGTCCTAAACTTTATAATGATCTTGAGTTGTAATGTGGAGTTTTTACATCCCTTTATAGCCACCACTTCCCTTAAAATCATAGCTTTTTTTTTTTTTTAAATGTATCTTGACCTGCCATTTTGAAAAACAGCAACCCTTTGCACTCCAGCTGTTGAGCATCAAACACAGTCACCCAGACTGCCATGTCAAATGTGATTGAATAAAGTGCTCTTCCTCCCTGCGGAAAGTGTAACTTGGTTTCTTTCATTCCATCTCTGATTGGCTGCCTTGGATTTCTTTACATTTAGAAAATAAAATATGTTTAGGTTAAAATTTAATAACAAGTTACCCACAAGAGATTAGATTAGTTTTCTTTCTCTCTCTTGGTTTAGGTGAAAAGGTCATTGTAATAGCATGTTCACGCTAGTCTTATTTATATTTCACTTATTTCCTCACAAAATAGTTATTGAAAGTAAAGTAGCTCTTGGCAAAGCCATTTGTTTTTGTGAAAACACGGGAGCAGCTGTTTGAATAAGATACTCAATATTTTGTCTTGGTGCATGATCCCCCTTATCGCAGGACCTTTATCTGAATATGGATAATCCCGTGGGCTTCCCTCCTCCCCCTCCTTCAGGGACCCTGAAAACAGTAATTTGAGGCTTTATCAAGTTTTTTAAATGATCAGAGAAATGTCAAAAAGAACCCAAGGGCTCTTTTCTTTTAGTTTAAAGTTATTTGTAATTTAATACATCTTTGAGAAAAAATTTTCTCTGAAATGTATGTGGTTTATTTATTTATGCAGTGGCTTTGTGGGCCCTGTCTTTGTTCCCTTAAAAGTAAATGCCGTTGTTTTACAATTTCTTTTTCTTTTAAAGACTGTGTGTATATCGAGAGTCGGAGGCCAAACACACCGTATTTCATCTGTAGCATTCAAGACTTCAAACTGGTAAGCATCTTTAATGTGCTGTCGATTCTACTCTGGACCTTCTCTTTTTCTAGTTCCATTGGCTGTCCCTCGATTGCTTCTCCATCATATTGGCTTGATGACCACTATACCTTTTGAGTGCCAACTGCCTCGTGGCTGTAGCACTCACGTAAGGCAGTCGCTAGTTTTACCTTTTCAGTTATGTAACACTTTGTGTTATAAAACTCATACTGTAAATAATGTTTACGAAGTTTTCATTCCTTTAGTAGATGTTTTGACAAGAATTTCAGGATTTCCTTGAGTTTCTGAAGTAGTTTGTTTCTTCTCAGCTGTTGTGAAGAACCTGAAGAAAAGTAAATTTGGCATTTGCTGAGTTGGGAAAAAAAAGAGTGCAAATGGACCAGACTACTTTTTGGTGGTGACTATAGTTTACTAAGCTATTTTAGTGAGTGGAGTGTATGTGTCTTGAACCTTTTTTTGGGGTCCCCCAGGTAGGAGACGGAAGCCTGGCTCAGGGGTGGTACGGCTACAATACTTTCTCACTGAAAACTTCCCAGGTCCACAAGCGCTGGTATTGCCTGCTATGAACTCTTGGTTTCAGACGAGTGGCTCCCACACTTGGGGCTTTGGATCCCTGAACATCTGTAGAGATTTTGCAAAGGTCTGCAAATGAACATTCTCAGTCTTAAATAAAAAATATACCTCATTTTTCATGTCTGTACAACTAATTTTCAAATGTATTAATATGCTGCTGTGATTTTAAAAGTTGAGTTATTTAACGATAATACACTGTTAATAATCACTGTCCATTACGTAGTTGCCTCAAACAATTGATAAGTGCAATACTATTGAAGTACTGTTATTTGGGGATCTTTTGAAACATTTAGATCTTAAAAAGGGATCCTTGTACTTGAAGGTTGTGAACCACTGTCTACACATAGTAGGAAATCCTAATTCTTTAGCTTTGTAGAGATATTTATCTCAGTATCTGTGAATGCCCTTATTTCCCAAACCCTTTGTAACTTTGGACAATATTTGTGTTCTGACACACATTGTATGTCTAAAGAAAAGTAATGTAGTCTGAAGAGATCTTTAACTCTGCATCTTTTTTGTTTCTTTTTATCATTTTAAGGACTCCACATATCCAATTAGTATATTCCAATTTAGCTAAAAAATTGCATGTCATTTATTTTTCTTCATTAAAAAATTATTGCATACGTAATACATGCTCGCTGCTTTAAAAGAAAGTTAAATGTGCCATTTCCTTCCAAGATTTATTCTTGTAAGCTGCTTTTAATGCCCCTGGTTGTTTTACAAGGTGGCCTTGCAGTTTAATATTGTAAATCAAATGCTTTTTATTCAGGCTTTTATGTCAACATGAAATTCTACCATTTTTAGAGGTCTTTGCTATTTATGTGTTTCCTTCCAAAGGTTTTTTTTACAGGCGCTGCGTTGACATCTGAAAATCAGGGTGGTGGCCTTGTTTCCTGAAGAGTTTTCTTTTGCTAGTGGCTGCTGCTCCTGCTCTTCCCCCATCACTGTCTTTGCGTGATTTTTACCCAAATGCAATACTCATGCACCATGGAAGAGATATAGCTGTGAAATAAAACTGCAAAGGTTTCTCTTTTACCTGTTAGAATAGAAGCCCCTTTTGTACAGTTTTTGCACGTTAGCTGGTGCCTTCACGTTTGAACAGCGTCGCTTATGAAATGCTGATTACAATGTGATAGTTGCTGTTCGATGCAGAGGTTCCTGCTGAGTTACAGTAATTGCTCAGGGTATTAACAGCAATAAAAGCTGAAGCTTCCGTTAGTATTGGTCTAGCACAGCTTTAAAGCCGTCTGCAAAAACAGTGTGGGAAGCAGGGTGCAGTCTGTGTAGATGCCTTTTTCTGAACCACACACTGCTATGTCTTATGTTTCTGTGTGAGTGTTGTATTCAGCTCATACTCGTAGTTGTGTACGAGAACAGATAATGAAATATTTGCTTCTGGAAGGAATGTAGCTGTTGTCTGGATACCCACTCTCGTCTTCCTTGGTTTTCAGTACTACTTATGAAAAGGTAACCTAATAGATGAGAATAATCATAGATTTTTTTTTTCCTTCAGCTTACCCAAGCTATAAGGGGAAAAGATGAACAGAAGGCAATATGCTTTTTTTTCTCTGCAAGATTTTAAAAAGAAGAAATTGGAATTGGTTTTGCCCACAGGGAATACCATGCATGGCAAGTGGCGCAATGGAAAACAAAAATGCAATAGCTTTGAAATGTTGTTGATTAATTATGCATTTTTTTTCTTTTTCTTTTTTTTCTTTTCTTTTCTTTTTTTTTTTTTGGTTGGGGTTGTAACTGAGAGACGTATTTCTTTGTTTACACCATAAATTAGAATTAATCCTTTTGACATGGTGAGTTTGTGAGTATTAGGTGTATTGTGGGACTGTAAAAAGAACTGGGGAATGCTTACTTACATGTTAAGTAAGAGTACAGAGGCAAAACACAGCAGAGACCAAGGGACTGAAGAAGTGGGCGTAAGGAACCAACTCCGACACGTCATTAGCACAATGCTAGCTAGTTGAATTGAGGATCCTGGGTAACATTACATGAATATGTTTGGATTTTACATGGGGACCTGGCTGTCTTCTAGACTGCGCTACTGTAGCCTGTAGAATCTGAGTCCTGATAATGGAATACAGTGCCTCCATGACCAAGTATCCAGCTGTTGTCCTGGTGGACTGTTAAACAGTGTCCGCTTTCACTCTCAGAGGTGTCCCTGTTTGGATGAGAGGCTGTATGGTCATCTTGCCTAAGGGATGAGATCCATGGCTTCCGCCTTATTAACATTTAACCATCGAAACACATAAGGCCTCTCCACCCTCCTCCCTTGGTAGGTATATTTAATCAGCTTAACCTTGGTAGATATATTGAGAGACCATACTTTCACAGGGGTAGGTGCAAAGTAGTGAGTGCCTACCAGAGCTGAGGTTTTTGGAAGTTGCATTTTCAAGGGAAGAGAGTTATGTGTTCTATTGGGAAGCTTTCACTCTGAGGAAATGCTTATTAGGTTGGACTTCTTTACAGACCGGGAGACCTGGGTTTGTTTGACTACAGTGATGAAAGTATCTATGGAACGAGTTGTCAAAAGCAAGGGCTCAAGAGAGCAGTAGAGGTAAGGTGGAATTATGGGTAGTGTATGCTTAGGAGCAGGAACAAGGAGGGATCATCAGTTAAGCGGGGCAGCTTTGCACCTTAGGCTTCTGAACTAAATAATAAGGCAGTTGGCAAAATCTTTAGCTCTTTGAAAGAATAGTAATGTGGAATGGCAATCTATGATCTTTGTGGCCTAGCTGAAAAAGATTAACTGAGAGACCTAAGTAGTTAGCAGAAGAGGTAAAGCTGCAAGGAGGAATCAAGAATTGTTTCAGTGCGAAGAGGGTTGGGGCAGGCTGATGGGTCTTAGGCAGCTGACAGGATAGGGCCAGGGTAGGGCCAGAAGCCAGGGAATGCAGAGGACTGCAGCGGCTGTGCAGAGAGCCGCCTAGATGCGCCAAAGGGAGCAAGAGCTTGCACTCACTCCTTGAGCTCTCCTGACGCTTCTTCCCAGTGGATTCTCAGATTTCCTTGTTTCCTCTCAGTAAAGGCCTCTTCTTGGGGTTGCTTGAGCCGATCTCCAGTCATTGTAACTTAAAGAGCCCAGTATAACATCTTCAACCCTTCCTCCTGCACTCCTAGTGTTTCTAGATCACTGTGTGACTTAGTTTGCTTTGAGAATTTTGTTTTTGAATGAGTTGGTATTAAGAAGCATTATATCCCAGAGTGCAATTAAGAAGGTTTTGGGTTGTAACAGTGCCTTTGACAGGCATTTATTGAAAGCTGACTTTGTGTTCTGTGTTGAGCGCAGCGCCATAATGGGGACGGAAGAGTGTAAAGCACAGCTCCTCCTCTCAGTGATCTTAGGGTCTAAGGACACAGCTGTGGCGTCAGCGGATATCAGTCCTCTGGAGAACACTGAATTAGGACTGTGTGGAGGAAGCCATCACTTTTTGTCCCAAAGGAAAGATTCCTTTCTGGCTTTTACTAAAAACCAATAAAATTCCATTTTTACAGGAATCCAGGCTTTAAGCATAATAGAGTTATAACTTGCTGTCTGGAAATAATCATGGATTCCGAGAGTGCTTATCCAGAAGATGGTTGAGATTAGTAGTTTTCATGCAGTTTAACACCAGAGTCCCTTGTCTGGCTCTAATAGTCATAGTTCATGCTGAATTCTTCATTCACAGATAAGTAACTGAAACTGTTCCTTTAACATTCTACATGGAAATACAGTGTGGATTCCTAGTGAATTTTTGTCACTCACACAATAGAAAAAGTATGATTTTGGATTCCTCGAATTATATAATTACCAATTCTTCAACTGTTGTATGAAATGAATTTTCAGATAGGATGTGTAATTATTACAACTATTATTTTGAGCAAAGACCATTGATTCATTTTGGCTCTTATTTGGAAAGTTGTCATTAAAATTATACCTGGTTTAGAGATCCCTTGGAGTTGGGGACATGTCATTAGGGGTATTGCAGTATTTTCAGTGGGCTGGCTAGGGCTTACCGTGTATGGCTGTGCGTGGATGAGTGTGCTCTGTACCATTGATATCCTGACAGCATCCATTCTGAGGGCTGATGGTGAATGCAGAGTAGCTAAGGAGGCATGCCACTAGTTACCTTGGAGAAGGCACATTCCCATTACTGCTGCGAATGCGGGCCCAAATCATTCGAGATTTAATACTGTACCCCTCTTTGTTGCATTGCCAAATGTGAGAAGCTGGGGGAGGAGGAACATTCAGAATTTCTTTCTGGGTACCCTTAACTCAATCCCAAGAGCTGACTGCCACAGTACAACAAGGAGGGGCTGCAGAGAAATTAGCTTCAGCTTAGGTTCCATTTGCCATCAAAATTGCCCTCTCCACCAAACTGAGTTTCTCAGAAGTGGATTAAAAGTCAGAAGCTGCTTTTCAAACTTTTTAAAAATGAAAACTTTTTGAGTTTAACTAATGATATCTTCTCACTCTTTGTTATAGGCTTTTCCATAGAAATGCCAAGAGCCATGAGAGACTCATTAACATGCACTCTATGCACACATACATGTGGACACACAGTGAACTAATTGTCATTTATGCATCATAGACCACAGTCACTTAATCCAGGCTTGGCTGTTGTGACCACTAAGCACAGACTGTATGGTGTATGGGCATTCAGGAAATGAGCATTCATTTTAATATTAGGTAAACCTTGTATTAAAAACTGATCTGGGGGTGGGGCAGGAAATCCACATTAATTTGAACAGGGCTTAGTCAGAATTTGAGAGGCTTTTCTGGGGCTGAGATGAGAGATGGTAGAGTGCACGGGTCTAGAGCTTGACTTAGACATCACGGTTAGTCTGTTTCATCAGTTGCTACCTTTCATGACCTTGTGCAAGAAGACACTAAATGCTCTTATTCTCCCTTTCTTTGCCTGTGAAGTTGGGATGTAGAGCATCTACTGTACAGGTAGGTTTGTTTTGAGATAAAAAGATCAAGTCTACAAAGTGGGTAGCGCAGCCCCTGGGCCATGGAATGACAGTGATCATGGTGTTGATGTTTAGTCGGTGCTCTGCCTTTAAGCTTTGCGAGGGCAGACACCACACCTGTTTTTATTCCTGGATGTATCCTGTGCATTTATTAGCACATTGTCTGGCCCATATAAGATCCACAGTATTTATTGAACATTGAATGAAGTAACATTTTGTGGAAAAAATTCACTGGAGAAAGTTCAGACAAACTTCAGTAATAGTTTCATATACAGTGCATGTGTTAACTACAAATTAACCTTCTGTTTATTAAACAAGCCTAAGAGATCTGCTTCTTTACCTTCAGTTAAGCGTGCAATGTACAATATTTTGGTTAGCCTCAGTGTGTAGTATTTTATATATTTAAATAATAAAACTATTCTTAAAATACTTTGAAACTCAGTTTTTTATTTTCTTCAGGAAGTTTACATGAGTATAGCCAAAGTCATAACATTTTTAGGCATTATTATAATCTGTTTTGAATTTTCTATGTTACTGACTTTTAGTGAAGATAAATGAGGGCTTAGTCTGCATGTAAGCATCCCAGAGAAGGCCAACTGATATGAGAAATGCCTTACCGTATGATGACTCATTTCTGTGTGAAACAGTGGTTGTTTTTCTCTTTTTAGTTTTGATAGTCCCTCAGTTTAGGTCTGTAGAATTGAGTATTTCTTTTTATAATTCCTTTTTCTCTTTACCCTCTTGGTTTGTTCCCTACCAAAAGATCAGTACCACCCAGTTCCAGCTTTGTGACTTGAGTATAGTGTTGGATAGTGAAGTGAAAACCTTGAAGTTTGTTATCAAGTGTTTTCAGTTTATAGAGAGAGGAATTAAGTATTACTTAAAGAGATAATGGGATGTTGAACTGAGATAGATCTGTAAAAGTTGTTCCTTTCTGTTAGTTTAGTTATTCTCACCTTTCAGGAGTGAGTGCATCATTGCAACCGTTCTCTTCTATTCCAGTGATTTCTGAGTTAGGAAAAGATGTTGATTTGGTGCTAGAATATTCTTCTGGAGGACACACCTCCTCCCCCGATTCTCTGTTTAAAATCAAGGCCATGGTTGCTAAGTTGCTTTCTGTAAGCATTGTAATACACTACAGTGGGTTGTTGGGCTTACTCCATGCTATAAATTCAGTAAGTCCTCATTTAACATCGTCAATAGGTTCTGTGAATTTAAAAGAAATGATGGATAACAAAACCAGCTTTACCATAGGCAAATTGATATAAATAAGACTTAAATTCATAAGGCATCTCATCAGCGTTACAATGAAATGATGATGAACAAAACCATGTTATTTGAGGACCTGCTGTATATGTTCGTGGACTAAATGTTTTTTTTTACGTGTAAATTTGAAGTTTATGATTTTATTTAATCCTTTAAGAGCCAAGAGGAGGATGAAATCTCTTAGCCCTGAGCTTGATGGACATGGTAGATGAGGTGATGTTGGCTATCTGCTGTGCATCCCTCTCTTCCTTCAAGTATGGAGCCGTCATGTTGAAAGATCTTTTGAGTCACCAAAACTATTTTGCATGATATGAATGTCAACTTATAAACAGAAGGGTTGTATTCACGTAAGTGAAAATCACAACGAGGCTTTGGGAATAAATAATCTCAGAGCATCTTACTGGCCCCATTTGTTCAGCTTCTCAGCGGTCTGTTTTCACTTATGACTGACAGTCATTATAGACCATGTGGGATTTAAAGTTTTAATGGTTCATGATTACTGTGAAGTTGGGTAATTAATTTTGTCCTGATTTATTTGGATATTAGAACTCAAGAAATCACTGAAAAAGTTTTACTTAAATATTTTGTGGAATTAAATATAATTATCTAAAATGTTATTTACTGAACCTGTTCTCTATATGTGAAGTTTTTTCAATGTAGAAAACTTGCTAAGAGTTAAATATTTTATTAAAAAAGGAGCTTAAAGTTTGAGACAATTTGATATTTGCAGAAAGCTGCTATGCAAGAATATTGGTAAAGTCTTGTCATTCAAACTATATTCTTTAGAACTTGAAATTTGTAATTTGTATGTGTATGTGTATGTTTGTGTTAAGAACCAGTTAAAACAGTCCAAGAAAAACTGCTTAGCAGAACTGAAAGAAAATTAAGGAAACTGAGATACTATCAGTGTTTTCTGATTCATAAATAATAAGAACAATGATATGCTTTGAAATGATGCCTTTTTTAATGCTTAAAATTTCTTAATAATGACTTGAACTCTTGCATATTTAAAATCATGCCAACGTGCTTAGAAATGCTTTACTAGGTGTTTTTTTGGTTTGTTTTTTTGTTTAAAACCCTTGATTTGAATGAATAAGGATTTGAGTGGTCTGATTAATTGAATCCCTAGTGCAGGAGATTAACCAGAAATTCATTTTTATTTGATGTTTATGGTAAAAAATATTGAGTATACTGTACGTTCTAGTACACAACTGAATCTTTGATTTGGGATTTGTGGTGCTGGTATGGGGAAGAGGTGGGTATGTGGTGGAGGAGGTTCTGGCTACTAACCCTTGATTCCATCATATGTTGTCAGTGAGGCGCAGTGGGAGTCAGAGGCTGGGCAGAAAGCATGGAACCCTGGGTGATCTGTAGAGAAAGAAAAGAAACCATCATGATAAAGATATTCCCATTATTCACTTATTTTCTTGGGATTTGTCTTTTTTGTTTGTTTTTAAAGAGACCTGCAAATATCAGTCATTAATGGAGCATATTAAATCTCAGATTACAGGAAGTTGTTAGAAAGGGATTCTTTGCTTCTCAAAAGGAATATGTAATAGGACTTCATAAAAATGATTTAATATTAAAAAAGTTTGCTTATCTGTAATTTTTAAACAACTTTAAGAACAAATTCTTATAGAAGCATTTGGATTTTATGGGGTTTTTATTTCATTTACAACCTCATGAAATGGAATTGGTTAGTTTTTTGGGAAATATTATGTATTCTCTAGAGCACTTGAAAGGGAACGTATTCAAACTATTATCCGAGGTATCGTTTTTGATACTTATAAGGACTGTGCTGGCTTTCAGAAGTTGCTCTACAATCTTTAGCTGGTTTTAAATTTTTCAGTTTCTTTCTAAAAAGAAAAGCGATACATACCAAACTGGTTTTACCCCTAAAAGAAATAATGTCTTTCTTGAACTTGATGCTCTGCCTGTTTAGTATACTTACCTTATGGGCATTATGAGAAAATTAAAACTCATTTGAATGGTGTCTTTTTCCCTCTGGAAAAAGCCTTTGTCTTTTACCTTGCCTTCAGCTTTACACAATTAACTAGGAATTGAGGAAATGGTAGGGCCTTTCTTTGACACCCCTAACACCTTGAATATTTCCTTACTAAGCACGTATGCCTCTAGCCTCTCTCGTTAGAAACTCTTCTGAAAGCTCAATTTGTCCTCTTGTGGTTCATTTCACAGATGTGTTTATCTGACACCACTGACATTTTGTTTTTATTATAAGCAAAGCATGCCACTGTCACTGTGCTTCGGCACTGTGTCATCTTAACTTGGTTATTTTGAGGGGCACACACCATACTGCTTTATGAGAGGATCCAGATTAGAGCGTGAAGCCAGAAGGGTCCTATGTTTTTGTTCATGCTGAGCTAAGGAAACGGCTTTGATTGACGCAGAGAGGTTAATGTTAGAGGTAGAACAAATCCTCTGCGATTTCAGAGGCCATCTGCTAAAGGACTTGTGCAGATACTCGTGTGTGCTGAGTGCCCCTAGTAACCAGGGTATGAGGGGACATTGGGCACGTTAACTTAAAACTTTTTTCTTTTTTAGGTCCACAACTCCCAGGCCTGTTGCAGATCTCCAACTCCTGCTTTGTGTGACCCCCCAGCATGCTCTCTGCCGGTGGCGTCACAGCCACCACAGCATCTTTCTGAAGCCGGGAGAGGGCCTGTAGGGGTAAGGAGAATCCCGTTTTTAAAAGCTGTCAATATTTTATATCCCATAGGGTATAAAATAGGAACATTACCTCCCTCCCCAGAGCCCCTTTTCAAATGTGCTGTATTGTATGTGTTTTTAAAGGAGGAACAAGTACATGCACAGAGGAAGCAAAATACGGGACTTGCCTTACCCCTCTAGGACAGTTCCAGAGTTAGTGGGGTTGGTGGTGTAGGGTATTTTGGCCCCAGCAGAGAGCATGCTGGGCTGCTGCAAGGAGCAGGAGCTGGCAATCAGCAGCGAGTATGGATGTTGGCAACTGAAATGGGGGAAAAAAAGGGGGTAAGTTTGAGACCAAGTGTGGACTGTGCATTTCCCCAGGACCAGTGGGACTCATGGCCCACACATCTAAACTGTTTTGGGTGCCGTCCTCTCAGGTGATGTTTTGTAGAGTATTGCTCAGAAGTAGCTAGGCTCTTCTGCAGAGGCAGATATAGAATCAGACACTTTGAAGGGTGTGGGTTGGGGTGTAGATACACTGCTGTCAGCTGAACCCTGGCAATTCCTGTTACCTGGTGGTCATGTGGGGTGTGTGTGAGATGTAGCAAGATGAAACGTCTTTAGTGCGTTCTCCCTTAGAACAGAGGACCTGGTTAGTGATCCATGAGGGCTTTTTTTGTCATATGTCTCACCTTTTCTGAAAGCTGTGTATGCACCTGTCTTCCTTTTCCTTCCTTTGAGAGGATTTAATGGTCAAGTTTTCTGAAACACAAGTGTTCATTGCAATCAACCACTGTTAATCAATAAAGAAGTTTAAGGCCTGTCTTCATCTTGTGTGTAATCTGACTGTGGGGCTCCAGCTCATACTCAGAAAATAACACGAGAGGGTAGCTGTGACACATGCGCAGGCACAATACAGGATACTGGCAATATATAATGAATTGTTCAGCGGCAGTGTAGAATATTAATATCTCCTGAGTAAAGAGTGTCCCCAATGGGCTGTTGCACTTGGAAAGTTTTGTGAAGGCAGGTAGGTTATGTTTTTGATACATCAGAAACATGTGCACAGGCAGAGTGGAGGTGCCTTCTAGGTGTACCTGTCAGCCTGTCCATAAGCAACCTAGGCAGTGAGCCTGGTGAAATGTGGAACTGGGAGAAGATGGCCGCAGGACGTCATTGAAGAGCACAGGTTAGTGGGTCTTGGGAGGCAGAGGGGGGTATAAAATGGTGCCAGATCATGACGGGTTCTAAAGGTCAGAAAAGGCACGATTTCGTGTGATTGGCAGAAGAGGGAGGGACTTTGCAGGCTTTTTATTCTCTGAAAGCCAGTATGCAGATTACTTCACTGCTCAAGACTCACTGGGAAGCAGCGTGGAGTGGGGACAGACTGTGAAGGTTCCATTCTGTAGCTAGGGCTGTCATCCATGCATAACATGAAGAGGACCAAGACCACAGAGATGGGATAGTAATAATTATAACACAATCAGGTATAATGATCACAACAGCAGCAATTTCATGTTTAGATGTTATAGTTGCCAGTGTAACTTACCAAGGATTAGACCAGAAAAAAGGTTCATATTATGGAAGACCTAGAATTCTGGACATAATAGCCATTCGCAATGGAAGATAAAACCCAGTGTCATGGATACAAGTCTAATTTTAATCCCTGGAGAGAGAGAGATTGACATATGAAGGGACAAATTAGCAGCCAGGACTTGACTCTCTACTTCAAACGCTTCAGCCTTTACTGATTACCATCTTGTTTCCACTTGTATCTAAGAAATGGTTTTTATCTTTCAGGCTGATATTTTATTTATTCTCTAATCTGCATGGATATCATTGTTAGACTGTTTCATTTACCCCAAATACTCACTAACCAGGATTTGCTGAATGGATTTAAAATCTTTCCCATAATAACATTGAGCTTTTTCTGCTAGCATTAGTGATGAGCAGAATTTAATTTTTTAGCAGTAAAAGTATGGTGTTCTCTGGGGATTTCAATAAGTTTATGATGGGTGGTGTACTCCGAGACAATCGTATGTAGGTTTGAGAGACTCTGTCATAAGGTGATAAAATCTTGTTGCAGTGAATACGCTGCTGCATGGAGCTAACTGTATTGATTGTTCTTTAACAACGCTTCGTGTTGCCAGAGGCATCTGAGCTGGACCTGAATCGGATCCAGTTGGCAAAGCTCCTCCCCATGTGTGGGGCTCTCATAAATCCTGCAGGCGCACGGCTCTAATGCAGCGTAATGAGGGAGCTGCTGGGAGAAAAATTGATTACAGGGCTGCAGACAATATCATTAACGGTTCTTGCCATGATACACCAGATGTCTTCCCTAATAGACTATTTTTGTTAATTTAGTTTTTATAGGATAGCATTGATGGCATTATAATTTAACTTTCTCTGCATATTCAGGTATATGTGATTTGCGTTTCTACGCGAATGATAACACCCACTCGTAGATTTAATTTTATATAATTTTAACTTATCTGTCCATTTGAAAAAATATTTGTGTGGAGAAGGCAACATTTTTATTTGTTACTGAGACTCTGTTAGCTTGGATGTTTTCTAGCAAAAAGTACTGTGTTTACTGGCAGTTCAGGGGCAGTGAGGGAGGTGAGAAGGCAAAGAAAACATTGCCCAGGCCTCCCTAGACTGGTCAGAGATGCTCTCCCAGCCCCAGCTGATCCCCATATTATAGGGTGGTTTAAACAGCACAGCAGACACTCTCCAAAGCAGAAAAGTGCAGCCATTTAAAGGGGACGTGAAATGCACATTCATGTCCACTGTCAAGGAGGTAGGTCTGCTAGCCCGTGGCCACACCTGTCCTTGTCCTCGTGAGATGACCAAGGGCTAGTTAGGGGATTTAGTTATTTCGCATTTTTGTTTCTTAGGCATCTTTTTATGTTTTTAAGAACTCTGTCAAGTGGCTAACATATATAAATAAGTACTGTCATAGTGGGTTGAACTGTTTTATTTCAGTCATTGTTTTAACGGCTAATTTTGTTTTTGGTGCATTATCTTATACAGAACATATTTTTTTCTTTTGACATGTTCCTGTGTAACACAGGACATGCTAATTAACCTTTCTAACCCTTAGTTTTCTCAGTTAGAAAATGGGTATAATATTACTATCTACCTCAAAGGGTTATTGCAAAGATGAATGAAATAATTCATTAAATTGTTTGGCATGATATTAAGCCTATAATAAGCATTCATTAAGCATTATCTGTTATCATATGGACTTCTGTCTTACTAACTCAGGTTTTAAATAATTTATTAGTTTTCTAGACATTCATTATCCGAGTTCTTAAGGCCCCCTAGGTGGTCTCTCTGAGTGTAAGAGGATCTGTGATCTTCCTTAGATTGCTTGCAAAGTCTTACATGTTTATGTGCAATTTTCTGGAGAGAGTATACTTTTCCCATGGATGCTAATCAGTAGATTTTAAAATGTTGAAAAATATTTAAAAATTAAGATGAAGAGCTGGTAGGTCATTTAAAACTTCCAGTCAGCTAGTTGTTTGTTAAGGAAGCAGACTAACCTTGAACATTTACTTCGTGCTCAGGCAATCTGCGACCCCTTCGACACATGGGTCTCCACAACCATCTGACATTTATTTCATTCTGCAGATAAGAAACCTTGAGGTTTGCACTTGTATAAAATCCTGCCCTTACTGAGTGGCAGGACTGTGGTTTAGCTCCTGAACTCACTCCCCTTGGCCTTGTGTAATCTTCGTTGGTCCCACGGTGACTTCTGTGCCTCCCTGGAACCCTGCAGTGATGCCTGCCTTTGCCTGCAGGTTTCTAGAGGGTTCCTGAGCCAGCATGCTGCTCATTCACTGGGTAGAGTGGAAGGCTTCCACCACACTGAGTGTGTTACAGGCTGGCCCTTACCCTGAATACGTGGACAGTGTGTCAACAGGATGGTGTGAGAACCCTTCTTAGCATCAGTAAATTTTGTTTTCCTGTTAGCAGTTGTAATGATCATACCTTTAGTGTCCTTTTGTTTAAAAAAATGCATGACTAACAGTTACTGTGAGTTCCCTTTTCATACATCTTAATGGCAACTACAGTTGACCCTTGAACAACATG